AGAATTTTCCTTGGATGTATAGAAGCTTGCCTCAAATGATTGACTATCCCTGCTACTTGCAAACCAGCAGGCAGTCTGCTGGCCAATTTACCTGAGTATTTTCTCAAGTACAGTAGTTTTGCACAATTATTCTACCGTGGTGGTTCTGGTGCTTATGTAAAAGGTCATATAACATGAAAAATGACAGAAACTGACATATTTTTCTCGTACTCAAGTGGTATTTTTTCAAGTGGAACAAGGGGTGACTCAGTGAACTAATCGCTGTGCTTTGACATACACAATGGCAGTGAAATAATGTTAAAAAAGGCACTGAAGGTCCCTTGCAGTGGAGCATGGCTAGTGCTTTTAGCTTTAGTTTTAGAATGATTTTTAAAAAAATGAGCTCAGACATCACATCAACCAGAGTTTTGAAATTCTGTCTTAGTCCACTAGATGGTGATCCTTGTAAATCAGGATTCAGGCAACTAAACAAGACTCAGGCCATTAACCATAAAAAACCTTGCACTCTAGTATGCAGAATAGAAAAATTTGATTACAGTGTGACACAATTTGCATCACAGACCTATACAAAGAAATTCCAAAGCATAGCTGAGAAATTGTTTGAGCGTATGACTGCACTGTGCCCTCAGCGTTATGTCAATAGGAGGACTGGGACCCAGTCACCAAGAAGACTGAACTTGATCTCACTCCTTTCTCACTGCAAATTAGTTTGCAGCATTGGAGCTGCAAACCCCTTTTGGAAGCTCATAATGAAAACTACAGCAAGGCAATGCGATTATTTGAGGTTGCCTTAAGCTCACAGTCATTTAAGCATATTCAGTTTCCTGCATAGCATGCACAAAATTCCATACATAACCTTAACATAAAACAAAGGCTTAGAGTATGGTAATAGAAATGTTTTATTAATCAAATATATTTACATTTCTTTGTCTTCTTTTTAAATGTGTGCCTGTTATTTTCATTTAACACAATGTAATCTTTACAGTTGATATCACAAGAATACAGCTACATGCATGACTTAATTGGTCCTTTGCAGTAAAAAAAGATGCAATTTTATGAATTTTAAAAAATGTGAGCAAGCTGTTTACCTTTCTAATTACAGTGTCATTTTTTATTACAACAGAGGACCCCTTCAGCATACTCTACATCTATTGGGTGGATTTATGCACTTTTTCAGATGGGCTTGATGATGTCAAAACTTCCAAAATCTTAACAAAAGATAAAAAAAAGACTTCATGCAGTCCCAGAATATTTTATTTTCTGGAATCATATCCACAGAAAGGACTTGGATGGAACAGAAGAGTGCTCTAATTGTGGTTTTTAAAAAAAAATCATAGCAATTGATGACTCTTAAAAGCAATGGGGACTTACTTTTGGACTTTCACCTATTTATTCATCTGAAATCACATCATTTTGTCAGCTATACGACAGCATCACATAACATAATATCACCATACAAATAATAAATAGTAATCAAAAGGAGAGGCGATGTTATCAAAAGAAAAGACATACACATCATTGCTTGTAAGTTTCTAGTATGTAATATGCTGTAATTATTACATTATTCTCAACTCAGCTTTTTTTCATGGGAAGACAAATTCTATTAAAAAAGAT